TCCCATTCGCTTTTTTTACTAACAGCACTGGAGAGTTGTATGGGCTATCAGCTTCCTCAATAATATCATCTTTTAACATCTCTTGCACTTGTCGCTCCACTTCGCCTTCCAGATGACATGGAACTCTTCGCGTTAAAAATGACCTTACTTTCGGATCACTTAACGGAATTTCATGATTCACCTTATCGCAATAACCGTATGGGTCGCCATCTCCAGTGAACAGATGATCGTATTTATTAATTAACTCTGTCACATTGTGTACCGTCGACAGCTTAATCGCTGCTATCTCGCTGGTCTCATACATGTTGATATGCCCGTATTTCGTGATCACCACGTTCGCTTGCGTGTCGATTATTGCACCAATCTCACGCAGAAAATCCGCTCCTAATATCGTTCGCTGTAGTTCGGGTACAACAATGAAAGGAAACGTCACCTCGCAGCCACCAACAACGACCGTACAGTTCGATCTACCCGTGATACGCAACACATACCCGCCTACTGTTTGTACTGTCAATGAACACGGACTAACACTCTTACATAAATTCTTATCTATTAACGACACGGCCGCCCCTGTATCTATCAAACATACTACTTCTCGATCATTCACTCGCAACTTCGAATACAGAGCCCCTTTCTCAATAGCCCCCACTAAATCTAGGTTCATACGAAAGAAAGAACAAGCATTATACCGTCTGAAATTTTTTCTTTTTCGCCTTTCTGGGCAGTATCTTCTCCAGTGTCCCGGCTTACCGCATTCAAAACACCGGTCTTTTCTATCAGCCAACTTTAACGCCGCCACTTCCCGCTGCAATGCTTCAATTTTCTGCTCATATTCGTTTGGTTTTGGTTGGTCTATAGCGGCTACCGTTGTGCTCAGCAGCTGTCTGGTCACCTTCGCCAGCTCACTAATATCCATCGGCTGCGTTGCGTTAACCAGTTGTAATCGCTGAGAAATGTGGTCTGGGACACTCTCGATGAATTGGGAAGACAGTAACTGCGCTTCTGATTCTTCATCTAAAGTGGGAAGCGCGCGTCGAAGTAGATTAGTCAGTTTCACCGCCAACACTAGCGGGTCTCCATCAGGTCCAAGCTTCATTGACCGGAACTGCTGCATTGCTAGCTGTCTGTCTGTTTCGCTGTCAAACTCGGACACTAGTCGTTCAACCAATTTCTTCCAAGACGCTGTGCCATTTGACCTGTCTACGCTGTCATATGCAGCCTTCGCTCGGCCTCTCAACAGCGTCCCCAGGACAACTGCCTTCGCCGCCTGCTCCTTGACACCCACCAGCTCAGCAACGGCCTCGAAGTCACGTAAGAAGCTCCGTATGTCTCCTTCTTCAAACGCAGCTGGCCACGGGATCTTCATCTTTTTGGAGGCAGCGACACCAAATGTAACAACAGAAGACAAGGGCTGGCAACAGATCGTTTTATTACGAAAATCAACACGTATTTATATATATTTTATGTACATTAATAAGGCTTATGCAAGCAGAAAAAGGCAGTCTTCTGATTGGTTGTTTCTCGGAAGTTAAGCAGACAAACACAGTCTTATGATTGGTTGTTTTCGATATTTCTCGGAAAGTAGAGCCATCTATCTGCGAATCATATTTGTCCACATTTAAGTTTGCTGTGATTGGTTGTTGAAACAGCCTTGTTCATATTTTCTCACGGCCCATATTAGTGACCTAGACATTAACGTAGATTAGTGTCAACCAATCGGCTAGCAGCCTGCTCTTACCACACAGTATTATCCTTATACACGCATGCATGTGTACAAGCAGGTTATTACAAGTTACTGGGAAACTAAGTTTCCCTTAGAAATTATAAGCCATAGAAGCAGTTAGTATAACAGAAACTAAGTTGTAGTTTATTTAGTAGAGTGGGATGAGTAGTGCGACGATTGGTGATAAGGTAATGTAGAGTGATCCTGAGGAAAACAGCTGGTTAACAGAACTCGTCATGCAACTTGAAATTGTAAAGTAACCCATCATCTTATATTATGCAAAAAAATACTGCGAGACGTTGCTGACTTATATGTTTTAGGAAAGTATTTGAGAAAAGGTGGTTATTGACTGAGTTGTGCAATGGACAAAGAAAATTTTCCCAATACCGTGATTTACAACCTTCGTCTTTTCTCTCTCTGGAGTCTTGTCCTCGCTTCTTATTCAGACATTTTATTAGATTTCGCCTGTGGGTCTTCGAGTTTGTGTGACATCAAACATAAATCACCCATTCGCGGAATCCAGGTCTTCTATAGTCTTCTTATCGGTTGTCCAACCTACTCCTGTCTTCTTATTCCCTACGCACAGTCTGACGCATAATCCAGTCCACCACAATTAAGAATATCATCGGTGATAATAAGCACTCAGCCTTATCTTACTCCTCAATTCACTTCGAACGCCTCAGCGAGTTTCTCATTGTGGACCACCTGACGTGTCATTGTCATATAGCTAGCTGTTGAATGAGATTGATAAATACTCGGGCACTGAGCGCCTCAGTGTTAAAGTGGTTTTCAAATTACTTCTCGATCAATGCTGTCTATTGTAGGTCTTTTCGAAGTCGATGAAGTTGAGGTAGATAGAGGTTTGACTGCCATTCTATTCTCTGTTTTGTTCGGTAATGACGATACGTAGAGTTGTAATTTGATCGGCGCATGATTTGCCTTTCTTGATTCCGGCTTGTTCTGGACTGGTAGATTTCTACATCCACTGCATGTTTTGTCTTCTCCAGGATGACGCGACTTAGTGATTTATTTGGCGTGGACAGAAGCACTATTCCACGGCATTTTGCAGGGGGTGCAGTTCTCACTCCGTTGGAAGCTTGACAAGGTAGCCAACGTTTCCTCCAAACAGTGGGCACACCTTTTCCCCTTCAGACTCTTCGCGATAATGGCATGGGAACTTCTAGCGCAGTCTCTAGGTCAGGTGGAGGGAGTTCCGTCCACTGGCAGTTCTGTGCGTACTGTTGGTGGTATTTCTGGGTGAGTTGCAGGTGATGGTCGATTTAATAGTCCTTTAAAGTGACAATCCCATTGTTTGATTTGTTTTTCCTTCTTGGTAATCGGGTTCTCCTGAACATCTTTTATTGGTTTCGTCGACTGGGTTGACGTCTTCTCGGAGAGAGACCTGGATATCTGATATAATGTCTTCAAGTCTGTTTTAACTGCAGCCGGCCTTTTCTGCTTCAGTTGCCAGTGTGTTGTAGAATTGTCTTTCCTGGAACTCTTCTTCACTTCTTTATTCAGTGCAGAGGATATTGAACTCAGCTTCTCACTCTGTTGTCCATCTTTGCATTCAGTCATCTCTTCTCCCATCCTCCTCTCCCCTCTTCTGTTGGCTTCAGGGTAGGCATCCGTTGAGATCTATACCTTGCCGTGTCTCTTCCCTCTTCTCAGAACAGTTGTGCACGTTTTCTTGAACATCATCTTCAGTGAGTTTCAATGTTCTTCCACACAGGTGTCCTCAATGATGCTACGCAGTGTCTCCAACTTTGCTCTGATCTGACCTATGGTGAAGGTGTCACTTATGGTTTCGGAATGTTGAACTCGAATTACAATGACCTGCCTTCAGTTTTTCTGAGGGATTTCAGCTTCACCCTGAAGGTTCCTTGTACTATATGATGGTCTGAGGCCCTACCTGCTACTCTTCTCGACTTCGTACCCAGCAGACTAGTTGCATCTCTGCTTCCTTGAGCAACAATGAGATGAAATCCGTTTTGTTTTTGGTATGCCCGTCAGGCGAAATCCATGTTGCTTTGTGTATATCTTTTGTGCTGCCTCCAGTTACCAAATCATTGAAAGCACAGAAGTCTGAGAAGAGTTCCCCGTTCTCATTCATTTCTACGAAAGATAGCCTCTCAAACCATGATGAGTTCTCGTCCTGTATTATCTGCTCCCAGTTTGGAAATCATATCGCCCAAAAGGATTTTGATTTCGTCATTTAGGATGTTGTCCATTATAGTTTGCAGTCGTCTATGAAAATCTCCCTTCTCTCGTTTTGCTTTGTTTGTAGCACCGTGTATAATATCGGATAACTGTGAGCTTCCTTTCTTCATTTTAAATTAAATCTTGCTGTTATGATCCTGCTGGATGAAACTGGTTCCCACCGCACTAATGCTTTGGCTGCACTGGTGACATCGTAATAGCCACTCACTGCCTTAGTGTGCTCGTCGTTGCCGTCCGGGTGACCTGACCGGAGTAGATTACTGACTTACCAGTTGACAATTTCGACGGTCCACATCCAATCCACCTTTTCTCGCAAGTTCCCTGCACTTCTTTGCCATATCTTCTGATATCTTTGGCTATACGGGCAGCCTTCTTAGCCTCGTACATTGCACGAACATTCCACGCCCCCATCCTTGTTCTTGTTTTCATTGAAAGAAGACACACTTGCTGACTGGCTTCGCGATATGCTTCCACAAGTCAGTGTCATTCCGACTCTCCGATTCCAGAAATAGTTTTTCTTTTGTATTTTCAATATCTTTCTTGTGCATTGAAGTTTCTGTAGCAGTGTGAATGGTTTTATGAAGGTAGGATCGTTATCCCCACTCCCAACCCTCTCACTTTTCCCAGGCCCATGACTCTGGTTTAAGTACTATCAAGAAGAGGCGCATGCAAATAGCATGCAGCCTCTATGAAAACTAGCATACAACCGATAGATCGCTCACTTTCCTACCTTCCTTGTTAGTGATGGCAACGGAAGTCACGAGAACACCATCATAGCACGTGACAAACTAGGAAGGAGAGGGTCATCGAGTGGCTGCGCCGCCATATGATACTACATGCCGACATCATCTTGCAAGAGGCAGGGATAAGTGTGTTCGGTTTTCCTCAGAACTACTGTATAAATGAACAGTCAACAGGTGAATCATTATATATTACATGACTGAACTACTTACCACTAAAAGTTACTGTTGGTCCTATTCACACTGGTGAAGCTAACTTCAAGGTATTCGATAGCCTTCTAAATATGTTACCAAAAAAGCAATAATTTTAAATATTCATGCCCAACAATCTTAATTTGATTTCGCTTCTGGCTAATAATACGCTTCCACAAATAGTTGAAAATGATCAATGTGTTCTGAATTTTGTTAGAGTGCATAAGAATGGTAGAGATATTAAGGTCGGTACACGATATCTTTTCAATTTCTTCTTCTCAAGTGGGTTTTCGTGCAATTTACAACTGAAGTCACTTGAATCAATACTTTTTAAGGATTTGTCAGTACTTGCATCCATGCTTACAACAATGATATAACTTGCAGTAATGTAGGGAAGCTGGTGAAATCCAAAGAACTATATTGTATTGTATATTAATATACAATACAATATATATATAATTATATATATATATATAAATTATATATTATTTACCCAGTTTGCCTATATCTCCCACTTTTTTCCCGTTCAACTGACGTTGTTAACGAAAATTGTCCAGTTTATTCCGCCTCGCCCACTTTTACACAGAAAACTGCCTAATTTTCTACCTGCATATCCTAGGTCTGAAAAGAATTCTGCAGCTATGTGAGAAGTTCTAAATTAAACAACATATTAGAATTCGAAACTTTAACTGCAAAAACCTGAGCGTTCAGACACAGTTACTGTACTGTGACATTTTAACACTCGACGGGTGGTGTAAACAGATAAGCAGTGTGTACTCGTCGTACCTATGAAGTCTATTTCAAGTGAATAGACAGCACTGATAGTTTAATATGTTGTTATCACCGTATAAGTTTGCGCTAATCAAGTATTGACTTTCAACTTTATATCCATTTTCTCACTTATAGGTGAGCAATATATTGCTTATTTAGTCAGAATCAAATATTTTCGCGTAGGGAATTACCTCAACATTGCTAGCATTTTTACAGTTTCCGTTTGTACTATGACAATAAAATAGAACTTAGATTGATATTGAATGAATCTGAGGGCAAAAGACTGTCTTATTACTGGGATGACAACCTAATGAGTTTTCGTTTAGATCGACAGATTTTAACATCTGTTAGAATTCTAAGTGTTTCTGATGAAAAATTTGCTTAAAAGTTAAGTAACACCACTGAAGGCATTGTGCAAACACTGGTTATGCAAATAGTTTCAGTGGTTGTCTTCCTAAGATATTTATTTCAAGCAATATTTACTAATAATAGTCAAAAAAGTCAAAATATCCCACATTACTTCACCATTTAAAGCTACCAAAGTTTGAAGTAGTGTACAAAAAAGAAAAGGAAAAGAGACAAAATTCAGTAAAGAATATGTGTGAAATACGACGTATAGACATTATTAGCAAAGAAGCCAGTGCTACCGCTTAACTGTTGGATTTTCGACAGCTTCTGTTTTATACCTGACGTTTTTAAGGTTCATATCGTTCTTGAACATGATGTAAATAAGTACTTTTTATTAACACTACCTAAAAATAAATAAAATAACAGTGCAAATATAAAAGCTTAAGACTAACCTATAACAGAATCATCAGGTCATGTTAAAATTTAGCGAATAGGTCATAATCCAACAGATAGTGATTTTCAACCTATACTAATAAAATTACTTTTTATTAACACTACCTAAAAATAAATTTAATTTTATTAGTATAGGTTGAAAATCACTATCTGTTGGATTATGACCTATTCGCTAAATGTTAACATAACCTGATGATTCTGGTATAGGTTAGTCTTAAGCTTTTATATTTGCACTGTTTAGGAGTCCCGAACTAGAACGAAATAGCTTTTTAGTACTTCTTGGTTTCTGGTAATGTTTAAGATGTCACCCAAATTTAAATACTAATGTTAGATGGTTAGGGGAGATCGCCAGTAGGCTTTGCTTCCAGGACTCGTGCTTCTTGATATTTGTCAATAAGGCTTATATATATATATATACTTGAGGGGACTGATGTTTCCTGTGAGTTTACAATACATGTCAATCAGGCATTGCTACAAAGTTATCAGAGTCTGTTAAGTTCTGCAAAAGGTAAATCGCGAGCATGAACAGTTCAGTGGTAATGTCACTTATAACCGCACATAGCGACACGGGATTAAATTTAATGATTCAGATATTCCTTATTTACAAGTCTCAATAAACAGGAAACCTATATCCAAGGCTTTCTACCGATTTCCTTCAGCAATTTAACATTAATTCAAAAGGCACACCACGGTGGTAAGTCTTCCAGATTGCTAATCACATTGCGGATCGATTCATAAGTTTTAGTTGGCGGCACTAAGGACTAGGGAAATGATGCTGAATCCTTATTTGGCTAACATCTAAATAATATGATGTTTATAATATATATTCTCATTAACATATGTTTTCCGTTTACCCTTCTATTTATTCTACAGTGAATTGATCTGACGCCAGAATTATATTGTCATCAATGCATACAATTTCCCCTTTGAAGATCTACCATTACATCGATTTTGTATGATCTGTCATCTACATAATATTATTATGTAATAGCTTCAGATGATTTAGATGTCTACCTAAGTGATATTGTTAATCAACTTTTATACGCCAGAGATACAGAAGACAAGATAAATCTTAAACAAATTCTATCAAATTAGTGAGTTAAAGTATGTTTTGTTTCATTCAATTTTCAATTATATAGGTGAACATTGTTTTGTTTTTCTTATTTTACAATATTCATTTCTTTTAGTTTTGAACATGTTATAAACGGTACACATACTATTCTGAGAGAATTTAAATATATCTCAGCTATACCATATAATAGGATAACATTTTTATTTAATCTGTGGAATAGTTTTACTTCATTCAAAGAAAAAGGTAACAGTCATGTTCAATGTTCATGTTCAAGTTTCAATAGTTTTCTTTGTTTTAAACAAAATAATTAAAATTTCTTTTTTCATAGATATAACTGTCGAGGAATTCTATACACTTGTACAATTACTTTGTTCAGATTTTCCAAATGAAATATTGTCTTACTGCCAAAAGTAGTTTGATTAATTTATTCACTAATATAAAATAACAATTTATAGGATATTGAATATTGACAACAAGTCAACAAATGTTTATCCATACTTGGATATATTTTGTGTATTCCAGTTTACCTTCTACTTCAAAGTTATGTTTCTTGATTTAAATTATTGATTTACATTCTTTTAAAATAAAAATTATTATAGAATTTGTAAACTCGTTGATTTGTGAACTGTCTGACGATAATGATCTATTCAGCGAAAGTGAAATTACACTGAATAAAGATGAAAATCATACCTTGGAGGTTGTTGATGAATCAGGTAATATGAATTATATGTAGTTTTCAATTTATTGAAGTCATTGAAAGTACTATCCCACACTGTGTAGATGTTGGTTATTGGCCTAAGTGATTGACTTTTAGATAGTTAGTCTCCAGTTCAAACACTATTGTACCTACTCCAACTTGGGTATCTGGGTAGAAGTATTATATGTCGTTACAGGATAATTGTATGTGGCTCATAGTCTGGCACATAAAGGATATGTTCCGGGTAATTGACTTTAGGACCAACAAAAAGCATCTCACACTACGAAAGTTGATATAACTAATAATAAATAATTTTTCCTTCACGTTCCCAGTGGAACATAGGGCTTCAAGCTGGAGGCTTGAAGTTTCTGTAGCATTGTTTATTTTTACAGGATGGGGTTGCTAGCCTCATGCCCAACCTTTCCTCTTCACCAGCTTTATTTCTGGTTTAGCGAGGTAAAGGAGTGCGTCGGCCGGGGTTCAAACCCCGGACCATGTGCATGGTCGGCGAGCGTCCTAACCGCTATGCCACCGACGCTGATATAATTAAAGCTATTCAATACAAATCAGAACAAAGAAGAAAATTTTATTAGTTGATTAATAAAATAGACAAATATATACTCTCCGATTTGGATCCAAGTTAGTCCTTAGAAATAAGGATAATCCTTACGAATCGGGTGATTTTATTTAAAGGAATTTTGAAAAGTAGAAGCTTCTTATAATTGAGTATTACGACAGGTAACATGTCACTGTCAACGGGATGAATATAGAGAAAGTCTTGTTTCTTACTTAGCTGGGCAGCATCGACCAGACCACACGGATGAGAATTTCGAAGCAAGCCAAGATAGGACTGAAAAAGTGAAAAGGCGTTCATTAGTCTGAATTCGGTATGGAGATTGACAACCCAACATTAAAAAAATCCGGATTGTGAATACTGTTTTCAAGTCAGCGCTTCTATAAGCCTCAAAGTTTTAGTATTTCACCTAATGCATTTCCAACAGACTTCCAAAGGCTTTCATTAGTCAACACTTGCCTTCGCGGCTTCGATACTAAAGGTCAGATGGTCGACCGGAGGAGTAAAAAACAAGGAACTCTAGTAAACAGTGAACCGACCAACAATCTATCACCAACTTGACAAATATGTGGAAGCAAATGGAGGTGAATCGAACATAACCCAGACAAACATTAAATAACAAAATCAAAATAACGTTAAAGAAACTAACGAAATCAGGATAAATAACAAAACAAAATCAATGGCGAATGAAATCTAACGGACCTATTTTACCCCTAATTTTATGGTAGACCGAAACTACATGAACCAAACATTCCCTTACAACCAATCGCTTCTCTCCCAGGAACACCAACATATAATCTATTTGAAGGAGTTTTCAGGAAATTGAAATACCTAACAGAATCATGCGATCATTCTGTCAATTCATCAATCCAATTTTTAGAGAAAAACAAAAACATTCAAATGGATGGGAATGAAATAATGGTGTCCTTTGATGTCACTGCATTATATGCTTAAATTGATCCAAGACTAACAAAAGAAACTACTCTATAACGATGAGAACACCAATAAGCAATGTTCAGCTTGGATGAAACTCTTAGAATTATGTCTTACAACATTCTTCTAATTCAATCATAAAATATACAAACAGATAAAAGGAACACCAATGGGATCACCGATATCAAGATTAATAGCTGAAGCCATTATGCAAAGATTAGAATAATAGCCCTACTAATAATTAAATCAAAAATCGACATACATTATGTTGATGATACATTCGTAATAATTAAGGAAATGCTAATTTGCAATACATCCACAAATTAATCAACAACATATCTGAAGAAATTAAATTCACAAGAGAAGAAGAATTGGATGACAAAATTCCATTCCTAAATGTCTTAATCAAGAGAACTGACACAGGAAATTTAAAAAACACGTACTCAGAAAATTGTAGAACACAGATGAATTACTCAACTATAATAGTTTTAAGCTGTATGTACACATTGTTTAAAAGAGTTCAAACACAATGTAGCATTCCGATGTTGAAAGAATGGATAACCGCCTTCAAAAAGAATGGATATCTGCACAATTTCATCAAAAAGTGTTTAAAATCAAGTCACAACACCAACAAGAAATCATCACCAAAAGCCACAAGAAAGTTCACCTTATCACATATGAAAAATGTATTTGAATTAACAGCTAGAATACTGAAACCGTTTGAAATAGATATAGCACACAAACCAGCCAGAACAATCACTTCATTCGATATGGTGCAAAGTGAAAGACTCAACAGAAAAAGAAGATAAAATTAATGGGATTTACAAAATAATTTGTATGAACTGTAACAGACATTACACCGGCCAAATTGGACGTCCCCTTGAATCAGAATCCAGGAACAGAAATCAGCTGTGAAAAGATATGATATCTAAGTGTTGGCTTGTAGGGATTCGGTTGGTTACAGGATTTCATCATAAGCTGACATTGGTTAGAGAACCATTGAAGAACCTGAGAGTACTGGAAAGATGTTTCGTCCCAGTTTGGGACTCTTCACATTACGCACCCACCGCCACGGTTCGAACCCAGGACCTTCTGGTTACAAGGCGAGCTCGTATACCATCAAGCCACTGGGACCCGATCCAATAGCCGATGAATTCTAACTTCTACCAGTTCATTACACAGCGTAACCACCAACCAAAGTTTTCGGCAAGTATTTGTCTGTTCTTCCATATCTATGCATGTAGATAGTTATGGACATCAGTCTGATTGGGATAGTGTCGAAATTTTAGACAGGGGAAACACCAAAAGTGCCAGGGAATTCTTAGAAGCCTGACACTCCAACGAATATGCGATTAACAAACACATTAATATAGACGAAATAAATCAACTAATAAAAAGTAACCATCTGACGAAAAAGTTTAAAATCCGAGTCAATAAAATAATGATCAATACATATGTAAAGATGGCTACCGGAAGACGCAATTCTATCACTCGTGTAAAATTTAGATCACTTCACTTTATGCTAAAAATTGTGCTGAAAGGGGATGTTGTCCAGAAGGACGACGAAAGCTCCACAACTAAACCAACCAACTCAGAGAACCATACTAATTGCAAATCGAACATGCATCGAGGGAACCACTGAGTGATATCACAGACACGGCAGGCCATCAAGTGGAATCTGAATAGATAGTGACAAGTCGGATGACACAGAGGAGAGCATAGAAAATGGGAATGAAAGTTTATGGGTAGTTGTAGAGCTGACTGAAAATGATGAAAGACAAGATGTGCTGAGAATGTGTTTTTCACTGGGAGCTTAAGGAATGGATTATATACATATATGTTTTTCATAATTTAGAGGTTGAATTATTGATTTATTTTTTTTCACCTTGAAAGCATATTAAACTTAAGTGGTCAGCACTGTATTCGTTTTCTGAATTCGTCTTTACAGTGCCATTCGTCCTTAACAGTCAATGACTAACTTTTCTGTTCTGTGTATGTTTCAATAAAACTAATAAAAATCAATAACCAGTATTTATTTGTTGCTATAACTTGTACCGTTCATAAAACTTTTCTCAGAGCGTAATTTTACTACGGTAACCTTATCTCCTGACTTGATTGCATATCTTGGAAGAGGTCGACAATATGTACTGTCTAGGTATCCTTCTCTCAAGACACTGTAAAACAGTTTATTGTAACTTCATACATTTGGTTCCCTTGATAAACTTCAAGAGGGAAAGGAAGACGAAATTTGCAGTATAAAATCACATCATTCTATTTCACAGGTTCTCATCAGCTGCCATTGACTACCTGAAGTTACAACGGTTATATAGATGATAATAACATACTTTAATGTTTGAGTGGTAGTAGAGAAGAGATACTATAAAAGTGACACATCCTAAATGAAAGCATTACAATTTTTAGTTTAAGTTTTCATCATCAATTTATACGCTTTTAAAGTTGAAAAGAGGGGGAAGGGTATGACAGAAAACAGAATAAATTGATTAACAGAACAGTGTTAGCTTGTAGGTCCACATCGCCACTCAAAAAACAGAGGCGGTTACAATTTATGAGATTAAGATTTGTTCAGTGATTTGAGATCACTGAATTAGATGACTAATCAAAATCAAAATTCTGTTACCAGGGGAGTGAGAGGTTAGTCACACTCTCTTTCTGTATGCATAAGTTTGTTTTAAATCGTTTCATTCCGATCGCTTCGGAAAATCGTAGTAAATTTGCTGTCCTTTATCTATTTAATATTTTGAAGGACTTAGAAATCCCATATGGGCCTCTATCCGGTTTTTTGAACATATTCCCAAAAACCTGTGCCTGAAAGGAAGCAGATATTCCCAGAGTGCAATTACCAGACACATTATTGATACCGGACATCTCGTAGCGATTTCTAAGTCCTTCAAAATATTAAATAGATAAAGGACAGCAAATTTACTACGATTTTCCGAAGCGATCGGAATGAAACGATTTAAAACAAACTTATGCATACAGAAAGAGAGTGTGACTAACCTCTCACTCCCCTGGTAACAGAATTTTGATTTTGATTAGTCATCTAATTCAGTGATCTCAAATCACTGAACAAATCTTAATCTCATAAATTGTAACCGCCTCTGTTTTTTGAGTGGCGATGTGGACCTACAAGCTAACACTGTTCTGTTAATCAATTTATTCTGTTTTCTGTCATACCCTTCCCCCTCTTTTCAACTTTAAAAGCGTATAAATTGATGATGAAAACTTAAACTAAAAATTGTAATGCTTTCATTTAGGATGTGTCACTTTTATAGTATCTCTTCTCTACTACCACTCAAACATTAAAGTATGTTATTATCATCTATATAACCATTGTAACTTCAGGTAGTCAATGGCAGCTGATGAGAACCTGTGAAATAGAATGATGTGATTTTATACTGCAAATTTCGTCTTCCTTTCTTTATCGAAGTTTATTGTAAGTTTAGTATCCCTCTGGCTTTTTCAATAACTCTTATCTTGTGTTTTGATTTTCACTGAAGAGTACTGTTCATTCTGAAAGCCCTTTCTTTTAAATACTTGTTTCTCTACTATTTTGTGTATTTTACACAGATTTATCTAATCATCATTATAATGGACATAGATCTACAGTTACTGAATGTTGCTTTAAATCAAGCATAATTAAACAGCTACCGGATAAATATGTGAATACATTAGAATTTCGTAATTTTACTCGGGATATGTACAACAACTCTACATTTATGTAAGTAATCATTTTATAATTTATGGTCCTGAATATGTTTATTGTTCCTTTAAGTTTCTGTAGTAATTGGATTGATTGATTTCAGCCGGGGGTAGGCTGGCTAACCCCATGCCCAGCCTTTCCTCTTTTCCAAGGCTTAGGCCTGGTTAAAAAAACAGCAAAGTTGTAAACTAGGCAATGTTCATTCAGGAAATCTTCCGCACTCAGCAGCATAAACAATAAAATTCGGATTTTCAACACCAATATTAAGTCAGTCAGTTCTTCTATTATTATTATTATTATCATTATTTCCTTTAATTCCTAGAGGAACAGAGGGCTTCAGCCAAACGTCTCCATTGCGTTCGGTTCTCTGCTAGAGTTTTCACCCACCTCCGGGTCTGCCCACATACTTTCATCTCCTCTTCACATGACCTCCTCCAAGTCACCCTTGGACGACCAACTTGCCGCTTTCCTTTCGGTTTCCACTCAAGGGCTTCTCTAGTAATGTCACTTGATGGTTTCCTCAGAGTATGGCCAATCCATCTCCGTTTCTTCCTGCCTATTTGTTGCACAATCGGTTCCTGCTGTATTGGCTCGCTTCCAGAGATCCCTGTTGCTGATCTTTTCTGGCCATCTGATCTTGAGCAGTATTGAGCGAAGACAGCTGTTACTGAAGGTCTGTAGTTTGTTTGAGATGCTCTGATCCATATAGTAGCACTGATCTCACATTAGAGTTGAAAATCCGAATCTTATATTTGATGCTGAATGCTGTTGACCTCCACACAGACTTGAAAGTAATGAAAGTTTGTCTTTCTTTCCTGATTCTTGCTTTGATATCCTCGTAAGTTCCGCCTGTAGTTGAAATGATGCTTCCCAGTTAGGTAAAGGAGGTTGCTTCTTTCAGGTTCATCACAATTATGCTGATTGTTGTCTGTTGTTGTTGATGTTGTTGTTGGCCAAGAATCTTCATCACCTCTGTTTTATCTATGTTCACTTGAAGTCCTATCTTTGATGCTTCTTCTTCCAACTTGTTGCTTTTCACTTGCATATCTTCCATTTTGTGGGAAATCAGACATGTATCATCGGCGAAGTCCAGATCCTCCAAGCCTTTTTTTGTGTGAGTCCATTTTATGCCTGTTTCCTCATTGCTCGTTGTCTATCTGTCGCATTATCCAATCTACTGCAATCAGGAAGATCATTTGTGATAGTAGGCAGCCTTGCCTCACTCCCGTTCTCACTTCGAAGGATTCCGTAAGTTTCTCATTGTGGATTCAGTTCTTCTATACAGATCAGAAACTTGGCGTGAGCGTCACAAAACCATTTCAAACAGGCTGCCTACTTCGCTGGCTCCATATTCAAGATCGGATGGCCAGAAATAATTAGCAACAAGAAACTCTCGCAATGGACAAACCAACCAAGAACTTATTGCTCAAGAAATATGTAGAAGAAAATGGAGATGGATCGGACACACTTTGAGGAGATCATAGGGTTACATCACTCGAGTGCAACTTGAATGGGAAACGACGAATTGACCGTTGGTCTGACGGTGACATTGACGAGACCATGTGAGAAGGAGATGAGAAATTATGTTAAATCGTGGGGCCACCTAAAGACAACTTCAGAGAATAGGAAAAAGTGAGGCTGTACGGTTGAATCCTTATGTTTCACTTGGATCCAAAGTGTACAAAAATAAAATAAAAAGCAGTGTACGTTTTATTATTTCCTAGTAGCGGTTTTCGCAACAGAAAGTCAGTGGGATGAGTGAAAATTATTACCTTATGAGAATCAACTTTCTATATCTTCATTAAACTGCCACTAGTAAAATTCAATTGTTGGCGCTATCGAATTACGTCACTATCTTGCATGTAATACTATGATGTATGCTACTTATGAAATGCTTCTAAGTAGTACATATGGTGACAAGAGCGAACCAGTGAATGCTAAAAATTATAGTAAGGGGAACAGAGTAAATCGGTGAATACTATAGAAATCCATATGAAACTGAAGAAAATCAGGGGAAATGCGTCCCAGATGATAGCATATGTACTGTTTACAATGACAGAATGTTCACCAACCATGTACTTGGCTTGGGTTCGACTGCCGACTGATATACGCCTAAACTTCACTCACTTGACTAGTTCAGAAAAAAGTGAACGTTGAGTGTGAGGCTGACAACCCTATCTCATGAAAGCAAGGCGGTCAGTGAAACTTTAAGTCTAGAAGCCCTGAATTCCAGTCGGAAGGCAACGAATGGCAAAAAATACTGTTCACATACACAAAGTTATGACATAAGTATCGAATACGTTTCAGCTACCTGATAAGTACTGAGCCAATAGTAAGGTGAGTCATGCGTTTGACCTTGATATCTGTTTGGTAGCAATCACTATGGCGAAGAATTTATCAACAAAACAAACCAAAACCTAACTAAAACCTAAAAAGGGAAAATAGAGTTAGATTTCGAACTGTTTAACATTAAAGTGGTGATACTTATACCTAAACATTAAGGTTATAACCTTGACTGATATCTGATTTTGAGGCTGCATATTCATTTAGAGCCAAATAATGCATATTTAGTCCTATATTTTAATATATACATCAGACTAAGATGCAGAATAGTTACCATACTCAAATTATACTATTCTCAATCACTCTTATTAGCTCTTTCGATATTGTCACACTGTGATTCTGCCACTTATTCGAGTTAGGTGATCTATTTTTAGCCAGTGGACCATGGATTTGAACTCTGTTCCACCTATGAATATTTTGACAACCGGTTGGTATCTTTAACTCTCATACAACATACATCACTCATCGTCAAGTGCACTAACATGAGTGTGTGGCTGTTGAGTTTTGTTCCCTTCACGTTCCCAGTGGAATTTAGGGCTTCAAGCTAGTGGCTTGGAGTTTCTGTAGCAGTGTTTTTATTTTTACATAATGGGGTTGCTAGCCTCATGTCCAACTTTTCCTCCTTACCAGCATTATTTCTGGCTTAGTGAGGTTTAGGAATGCGTCGGCCGGGGATCGAACCCCGGACCATGTGCATGGTCGACAAGCGTCCTAACCGCCTTGCCACTGACACGTGGCTGTTGAGTAACCTGCATATATTCAATACTGTGCCTGGGATGAATAATTTAATATCAGCCATTACTCACTGATTAAAAACATAACTGTTTAGTTCTCTTTATATTTCCATAACCAACTAAGTGGTGGATTTACTCATACTTTACAGAGTGATCTTGACACCTGAATATTAGCCATTCGATTCCGTTTCAACTATTGCAGTCTGAATAGCCATAAACTGGAAACCCGATACAGTTCTGTCGGATACCACTAATTTGAAGATACCAAAAGATTAGGTACTTCTGTTCAGTTTTTTGTGCGTAAGATGGAGCAATATGCTTAGTAATAATGAGGTTAGATGTTGTAGAGTATTAGGTATGGAAGGAAAGTCAGACGATGAGGTTTAAAAGCTGCATAGATTGTGATGACTGGAACGTGGGCTACGCATGGATAGCTACCGTCAAACATGATTAGTCGTGTTAGTTGGAGTCGGATTACTGTAGGAAAGATGTGGGGCGGGAGATCAAACTGAAACGTAATACCAATCTTTGACTGTTTGAGTCGCGTAGACAATGCGAATTACCTGAATGAGGTCGACGCAATTCCTAGTATGAATGGTCTGTGACTCTTCGTGATATATTTCAAAGTATTACACAGTTATGTAGGTGTATTCAGTCTTCGTCACTAAGCAGACTTTGGAAGTGTTTTCTTCACATCTGCACGTATGCTACTGACAAAATTAAAAGTAGTATAGTGATTAGGACACAAATATGTATATCAGCTATAAGAATATCGAAAAGCGGAGAGATGGATTTAATGAACGACGCTCATGAAACAACATGGAAAACAAAGAGGCATACTAAGGAAGACAAAGCAGCATAATGTATGCTTATGTGCAAATTTTTACCCTGCTATACGGTAGACGTATTTTGCCTGTATCTGTGTATCCCGTTGCTAATAAATAATTAAGTTAACAAATTCTCTCGTCTTCTGCCATTTCACATTTACTGTTATCTCATCACATTTCTTTCCTGCATTTTTATATTTGTCTCATGGAATTGCGATGACTTGAACCGTTGCCCTTTTATTCAGACTCCTATGTTATGTCATTTTTATTGATGGGTGATTAGCAGTAGAATCCAAGAATCATATTCGTGACTCTTCAGTTGAACGTGCATGCATCTCAAGTGAGTGATGGTACTCCTGCCGAGACTCAAACGCTGCACTAATCATCCCGAATGCCAAAGCATTACCTATTAGGCCACTGACGCCAGGACAGTCACCCCTTGTGCAATGAGTATTAGTTATTATTTGTTTGTAGGTTAATTTATGTTTGAAACGATCGATGCAGGGTTCATGTCTCAGTGAAAGCATTATTAGTTACTGGGAATGCAGAAACTTTCGTCTGACGAGTCCTGAATAAGACAAAGAGCACATTCTGGATTCCATTACTAGTCACCATCAACTTAAATTGACATCATGTTAATTCTGATACACTGTCGAAGTGTTCGTACAAGGAGTCTACATGTTAACAAGGATCGACCATTTCGGTTCAGCGTAATCAATCAACGGGAAATACAAATTAACTTAAATAGGTTCTACATTGAGCTTTAAGGGCTCAGTAGCAGTGCCATTTATTCTAAAGGGATGAGATTGCTACCCTCACACCCAACCGTCCATCTTTACAAGGCTTACTACTGACCAAGCGAGGTTTAGGAGTGAGTCGGATGGGGATTGGACTCCGGACCCTATGGGTTGGTGGAGAGCATTCTACCGCTGGAATGACGATGCACTTACACTGCATGTACCTGATTATAAAGTACGTTTAAATTCACGTATAAAATGAGTTGTATTCTATACTTAATGAACTGAAATAACTTTCAATTTACAAAAAACAAAATAATTGAGCAAAGAATATCCTTTTCGATAATTTCCTCCTCTTCGGGCTCTACAATTACACATATACATGTTTATATACATAGAATATTTTAGATTAGTAGTTAATAACAATATTAGTGTTTTTTAAATAATATCGATTTGTTAAGTAAGATCAATGGAATTACAGTTCACTAAAGATGCATAAATTATAATAATAATATAATAGCAAATAGAGTATCAACTAAAATTAAGGAAGTTTCTACAAAAAGTTGAAGATCATTCGAATCTAGATGGCCAAGGCAAGGATAATATCTGAACTAGCTTCTCTTCGACACATAAGTTAGGCTTCTTAATGTGGATCCCAAGGGCTTAAACAATATATAGTAGACGAACACGTAAGATGGAGTTAAGATTAGTTGCTATGCGGTGAATGACTTTGGCATCAATCTTGTGTTCTGTATCCACAAGATGAGACGAGAATAGCGCTTTGAATGGATTTTGTTTGTCCTTTACTTAACCACTATACAGGGTGGTGTTCGAAAATCCGATGAGAAACTCGCCTAATTTTACGGCCTATGTAACTGGCTCAAAAGGAGCAGTCGAATTAGTACATTAAACCTAAGTACGATTAAATAAGGAAAGATATAAATCTATTTTATGCGTACAGTTGACGAGTCTCAAACAAGACGAAATTTCACTACTAGTCACCATCCACCAATTAAAATCTATTTGGCAGTTTCGTATATTGGCATTTTTATCTTTTGTGTTTTTATTAAACATATTTTTCAAAGCTACTCTGATTAGTTGATATTACTTTAATATCCCCGCCTACTCGTTACGTGGACTATAGTATATACATCGATTAGTCACCAGGGTGTCATTTGTCATGTCTAGTCCTAATTGTTGATGCTAACTAAATCTTGTCAGTTAAGTTTACAATGTGGTGCACATTGAAATGAGTGCAAATTACTTATTGGGAACGTCTCTGACTACAGTACTGGGTGACTTCAATCTATGAGGTTGTGAAATTACATCGGTTGACATGGTTAGGACATGTGTTACGCATGCCTAGCCTAGCCATCGCCTTCCACGACAACAGGTAATCTTAACTAGCTGATATAGGATGAGGTTGGAAAAGAGCTTGTGGTGGTCAAACTAAAACATGGCTGCATCAGTCAATGAAATCCACAACAGTTAGTTTAAGCCAGCCACGTAGAGGGAGATGTAGACTTTCTGACTGGTTGGGGTCCTCGGGATGGTAAAACTGATGAAGGCTGGAGACAATTGGTGATACGGCTCAAAATTTTTCTCAGTAGCTGATACAGATACATTCAGTCTTTGTGACTTATAATATCTAATAAAACTATATTGTTCTTCGATGTTACTATAATTTTCGCCTCATATCTCTGTTTTGAATCTCTTTTTACTCTCTTCTCTTGCACTGTGTCCTACATGGAGCTTGTCGACTTGAACTGCTGCACATCTGTGCAAAGTTCTCTGTTGAAAGCAGTCAGTCAATCAGTATTGAGTGACGCGAGTTTGGTTTCTTCAAGTTTACAGATACACCTTGCTGACAAATGACAACAATCTCTAAACCTAGGTCCAGGAATTCCTGGAGATTGCTTCTAACAACTTAACATCAGTATATATATATATATATATATATATATTCGAAGAGTTGTGGCCTATTTCCATTATTTGTTGAGTCAGTAAAATTTCTCATGGAAAATACTTGTCTCGTAGATGTATATACTGGTCAGAAGTAACTAGCAACAAGAAACTCTGGCAATGAACGAATCAACCAATACAGAAGTATCGGGGACACTCTGAGAAGACCGCTGGGTAATACCTCGTGCTAGGCTAACGCTCGAAAGGAAGAAGAGTGGAAAACAACGAGTTGAGTACGTACGAGGGTGGGGATAGAGACTCTGTGGTAATCTTGTGGCCAAGTAGAGAGGACTGTGAAGAACAGGAGAAAAACGGAGATGTACTGTTGGAGCTATATGTTCCACTCGGAATAATTTGCTGAAGGCCATTGATTGGTATTCTTTTCGAAACCAGTGATGCACTTATGCCTGGTATCACACATTAGGATTCCATTTACTGGCAGTGTTTCCTGTATAAAGCTTCAATTAAATACGTTCCTAACGTTTAGATTCTTATAGATTTATTTAAATTAATTCTTTACCTGTTTATATTGACAATTAGTTATGCCATTCTATATTACTTTCTATCTCCCGTGCGAAGTGGTATAATAAGGTGAGCAATATTGAGGTTAGGCGTCGAGTGTTAGGTCGGTGGGAGGGGAAATCAATTGACGAGGCTGTGAAATTACATCGACTGAGATGGTTAGGACATGTGTTACGTATGCCTAGTCATCACCTTCCTCGACGGGTAATGTTAGCTGACATAGGGTCAGGATGGAAAAGAGCTAGCGGCGGTCAAACAAAAACATGGAACCAGTCAATGAAATCTACAACAGTTAGTTTACGCCAGCCACGTAGAAAGTTGTAGACTAGCTTCCCGGTTGGGGTCCTCGGGACGGCAAAACCAATGGTTGGAAACAATTGGTGACATGGCTCAAAATCGTTCTCAATGGCTGGCTGGCGCAGATGCATCCACTTCTTGTGACTTATGATTTCCAATGAAACTATATTGTTCTTCGTTATTACTATTCCTTTTCCTCACGCCTCTGTTTATTATCTCTGTTATGCATTTCTTCTAGTTTCTTCTCTTGGTTTGTTTGCTACATGGAGTGTGGCGACTTGAACTGCTGCACATCGGTGCGAAGTTCTATGTCGAAAACAGACAGACAGACTTTGTTCTGTTAAATAGGTCATTACAGTGAAACAGTGCTGTTTAGTAGATGATATATCGAACACAATTAGTTAATCACAGTCTTATCAGTTGTAACTACACCGTTTAGTTCTAGTTCCTCCTTCTTCCTGTTTGTCATATGGGTAGTAGGATTCATCTAGATGTTGGCGAAAATTGTTCAATTATTTCTTCTGCATATTGTTCTCAATTGATTTGATAAATAAACTTTCTGTTATAGCATTTCTTTTTCCTACTATGTATACAACAAAATGGGAAATAAGAACTAAAAATTTCAAAATTGATTTTTAAAGGTGTATAGTTACATTTGGTTTGAAGCACAGGCGAGCTACCATGCTATGGCCTAGCGTATGGTTTCACTTCAGTGTCCCCTCCACCTGCATCTCCCTCTGCATATTCGTTAGGTAGGCGATAGGCTGTTCACCGGTTTACTACAAGATTTACTTGTTGCTTATCCTTCAGTATCAAGGTGGCGAAAGCAAATGTTGATGAAGGTCTTCAGAAGCCTGTTAGAAATGCTTTAGTTCACCTGCGAACTACTTCTCCACAGCATACAGGAACATTATTATTATTATTATTATTACTCCCCTGAGTTCCAAGTGGAACATAAGACTTCAACAACACATCCCTAATTTCTTCTATTCTCAGCTGGGTCCACGAGTGATCATAGTCTCTCATCTCCTCACTACACGATATCGTCTATGTCACCTTCGTCCTGATGACCCACTCGTCGCTTCCCTTTGTGATTCCAGCGATGGTCTGCATTCTGCACAATGTCATTCGACAGCCTCTTCAATGTATGCCCGATCCATCTCCATTTTCTTTCACATACTTGTTGAGTGATCGGTTCTGGCTTGTTTGTTTGTTGCCAGCCAGAGTTTCTTGTTGATAATTCTTTCTGGCCAGCCTAATGGCCATTAGGAAATTCTTTTCGTGACTGACATGCAGTGCGCACTTTTCTGACCCGTATAGAAGATGTGACTGACTGACTTCACATTTGTGTTGAATAGAATCCGTATCTTGTTCTTTATACTGGCACGCTGGGTGAAGCAGAAGATTTCCAAACTGGTTTCAGGTTGATGAAGGCATATCCTGCTTGTCTTTCCGATTCTGGATGGTTGTCTGGCTAGTTTTGACATCCTCATCCGTGATGCCCGGCTGCCTGTCGTTAAAACGACGCTTGCCAGTCGGATAAGTGTAGGAAGTAACCTTTTTCAAATCTCTCCCAGTGAAATGGCTACTGGTGCTGGTTGTTGTTGCTGTTGGTGGTGGTGGTTGGTGGGGTATCTTCATCACCTCTGTCTTGTTCATGTTCACTTGAAGTCCTGCCTTCACTGCCAAACCTTTTTGCCAACATGTTGGTTTCGCCTGTAGGTTTTCGAATTTATTTGGTATTAGATATTAATCTCCTGCAAAGTCTCGATCTTCTAGTGTTTTTATCGGTTCAACGTATTGGTGTGTTTTCAATCTGCATAGTCTGACGCATTAATCTAGCCCACCAAAATTAGGAATATCATCGGCAATGGTGTGTGGCAACCTTGTCTTTCTCCTGTATTCACTTCGAACACCTCGTTGAGTTTTCCGTTGTAGATCACCTGATACGTGACACTGTCTTATAGCCAGTTGTTGAATAAAGTTGATAAAGACTTGGGCACTGCACAGCATAGTTTTGAAGTAGTTACTAAGTTACTTCTCGGTCATCGCTGGCTGCGAAAGTCTTTGCCATTCTATGCTTTGTTCTGTGATGACGATGCGTAGATTTGTGATTTGATCAGCACTTATTAGCGCTTCATGAATCCAGCTTTTTGTGAGCTGGCGGATTTCTGTATCAAGTCTATCTTTTATTCTCTCCAGGATGATGTGACTTAGTACACTGACGTGAAATAAATGTTAGAAATGCAGATTGTGTTCTTAATACTAAGCGCTATAGATGTTTTTACATGGATTCTAGTGTTATGAACGCCTATACTGCTTTCAAGATCCTGAGTGGATTTGACAGAACATTAAGAACTTGATTTTACAAATTTCGTTTTAATATTTTTTTTATCGTTTCCTGTTGTTTTTCTGTTTTTTGCAGACTACCTCCAAAGTCGGTAATGTGTGTTTGCGCCAAAGAATTTCTACTTCATTCAAGATTCAATATTTACAGTTTATTCTCATCCTTAGCTACTGATCATTTATTAATAACAGAAATAGGCAAGTCTTCATTACTATTTTCTTTTTTTTTTCATACCACTGTTACTCTTTCAAGCTTTAAATTAACCTCTCTATGCTTAAGGTTTTAGTCGTCTAAACGTTTTGCCATTACTCTAAGGATCATACTGAGAAACTGTGATTGGTCGCTGCAATTCTGATGTGGTGTTCGTGCTTACATTTCTCACTGACCAAAACAGCCACACTGGCTCGATCGTTTCTACAGATCTTACCATACCAGAAAGATCATTTAGAAAGCTGTTAGACTAGATGCATTTTTACCATCATAGTGCCATTTACTGACTCTCCATGTGGTTGTTTAAAGGTAATATCGTACTTCTGACGCAGAGGGATGTAACAGCGGTAATTTATTTCCCTTGGCCAACCTACCGGCCAGCCGACAAGTCAGCCTCGTTGTGTTTTTACTGTGACGATCAGAGGATAGTTCTTTAGAACAGATCCATCCGTGCAGTGGTCCACAACCACTGACAGGATCTTTGTATCAACAGAATTCCAAAAAGCACTTTAAACAAGCTAAGTTGTATTACCTCTTACAGTAACAACGTATAGATAGATATGCAGGTATATATTTAATTAAGTATCAGAGTGTATTTTATAGTTTTGTTTTTTACGTGTTATTTACTTAATTACATATTACTCAACCTATCAGCACTTTAAACTTTGAACTGTCTTCTCATAAATCCGTATTTTATTCTAATATACTCAAAAAAGTACATGAATAAGAGTATTTCACCTAATTCTGATTTTCAAAAAGACCAACTCAATGTATAGAACTATGTAACGTTGAATTTTGTGTCTTTCTTCTCTGCCTCTTCCTTTTTTGTTTTAATTAACTCACTGAACTTTGAATAATATTTTATTTTAAAAATCTTACCATGTAGTTAGTTACTTAATGTCTAATTTTAGAATGAACTAAGTAGTTGTTTATCATTATTTTTTAAATTGTATAACTTTAGAATAGAACAAAAAGTGTAGTGTATTTTAATATTTGTTTAAATTGAGGCAGTTCATGTTGAGATTGTCGTAAATTCAGAATAAAGTGTATTTTACAGTGATTTGTTTTAGTTACTAATTATCCTTTACAGATGTACTCTCATTTTCAACTATTGGTTTTGTAGGGATTATTTGTTTGGTTGAATGGAGGATTTCATCATGAGCTGACATCAGTTAGAGAACCACTGGAAAGCCTGGGAGTACTGGGCAGTTTGGGACTATTCGTCAGTACGGACCCACCTCCATGGTTCAAACCCAGGACCTTCTGGTTACAAGGCGATCTCGTAGACTATTGAGCCACTGGGACCCAATCCAATGGTCCTTGGATTCTAACTTCTGTCAATTCATGACATAGCGTGACCATAGCTGGAGAGTCCCAAAGTAGGACGAAACAGATGTCCAGTACTCCCAGGTTTCCCAGTGGTTCTCTAACTGATGTCAGCTCATGATGAAATCCTCCATTCAATCAAACAAATAATCCCTACAAAACCAATACTTGAAAATTAATCTGATGCTCACTAGTGACTGGCCCTATTCAGGCAGTTAACCTGGGGTTCTAGTAGGAAGCCGTGACCAGTAGGGTACAGCAGGCTGAAGATGAGGCAGTAACTCATCAAGGAAGACGTTGCGAAATGGTCGAGCTATGTCATGAATTGACAGAAGTAAGAATCCAAGGACCATTGGATCGGGTCCCAGTGGCTCAATGGTCTACGAGCTCACCTTGTAACCAGAAGGTCCGGGGTTTGAACCGTGGAGGTGGGTGCGTACTGATGAAGAGTTCTAAACTAGGACGAAACAGCTGTTCAGCACTCCCAGGTTTTTTAGTGGTTTTCTAAACAGTGTCAGCTCATGATGAAATCTTCTATTATTCTCATTCCTTTGGATTCTGAGTACTATAACCGATGTAATTATCCTCGTGGAGTTTGGCTGTCATTGCATAGCAACCTTCGTTGGTGTTGATATGACATCATGACAACCACTTCCTCAGTATGTGTGTGTATTCATGGTTGTTGTCTGAGTGACGGGAGTAGATAATTCACTCTCCAGTCAACAATTTGGAGAGTCCACTTTTATCCTATGGGATCTAACATATTCTATAGTGTATCTTCTGATTTCCTTTTACAATCTGAGTACCCTTCCCAGCTGTATACATAATGTAGACATTGCATGTCCCTATGTTTATTTTTGTTTTCATTGAAAGGAGACACATCAACTGGCTGACTGACTGACTTTCTGAGGGCTTTCATCATCCCGTCTCGGCGATTCCGGCGAAGAATAGGTTTGCTTTTTTGTATTTTTGTTTCTGTAGCGACTGGATTGATTTCTGCCGGAGGTAGGGTCGAAATCTCCACGTCTGACCTTCCCCCTTTTTCTGGGGATGGGCTAATAAAGGAGGCGTGGTTCTGACGCACATTCAGAGATGTACTGATCTACTTTGTACACAAATCTTTGTTTATTGAATCAACATCAAATAAGTTCAATGAAAATTCTTCAGCAGTTGTTCTAAATATTTACGTAATTCCCCAGACTTTGTGAACAGAAAAGGTGAAAGTTACTGGTGTTATTTTATTGTATGAGTTGGATGATTTCATTACGAAGTTTTAATTATCCTTATTTTCAATAAAATCTTCAGCGCTAATTTCAAAACGAAGTAAGATTTGGGAATTTTCTATGGATGAAATATTGACCTCTCCTGGTCATTGTCACTGTGATTTGTTATTCCTTTAGATTTTGTTATGACTGTGTTCATTTGTATTGATGTTTATCATCCTATGAATTCACAAGAGATGAGGAATCCGAGGAAAAAAATCCCATTTTTGGACGTCTTAGTCAAGCGAACAACCAGAGGAAAATTAGAAACTCAAGTTTATAGAAAATCAGGTCACACAACAACAACAACAACGCAGTAATGCACAATTCGAGTTGTCTGCAAACAACATTGAAGAGATGCGGTGGGTGCGTACTGCTGAGGAGTCCCAAACTAAGACGAAATGGTTGTCCAGTACTCTCAGGTTTTCCAATGGTTCTCTAACTAATGTCAGCTCATGATGAAATCCTGTAACCAATCAACTAAATCCCTACAAACCAACACTTGAATACTGAAGAGAGCCCGAAATCTTGCAGCAACCCTACCTTAAGGGGAATTGAAGAAAATTATCTCATGAACGTCTTCCAAAAAAAGTAAATATCCACGGAACTTCATCAAAAGATATCTACCCCCAAGCCAACCTACCGAATGAAAAGCCCCCAAAGAAAGGATAAAGAAAATAGCACTACTACATATAAAAGACATATCAGAAATCACTGCAAGACTCTTCAAACCTATAAGAAATGATGTCTCACGTAAACCAACAAAATCACTTCACTCAGTCAGTCCTGTGTAGGCCAAAAGACTCAACAACGAATGGCGATAAAACCAACATCATCTGCAAAATATGTTGCAACGATTGAGAAAAACACTACACTGGCTAGAGTGAACGTCCTCTTCGTTTTCGCATCTATGATCATAAACTAGCCGTCAAAAGACATGACATCCACTCCCTCATATCACTACATACAGACAACCACGGACATCAATTCGACTGGGACAACGTTCAAATACTAGACAGGAGAAACACTAAGAATGCTATAGAATTTTTAGAAGCCTAGTATTCTATTTATTCTTCAATGAATAATAGACACATCGACATAGGCAAAATTTACCACTCGATAAGGAGGAAATCTCACACACAAAGAGTCAAATTTCAAGTCAAGCAAACAATCAGTATCATTACAAGTATCCTCTGAGGGTGTGAAAACACACAAAAACAACCATTCACACTCTAGGTCAGCAGGTGAGAGATGACTGATAAACTCTTGGAGAAATCTAAAAGCTCACTTCAAAGAAATTGAAGTATGCGCTGAGGTGAGGATGTTGCCTAGTAGGGGGGTGGGGGGGGGCAATGAAATTTTTGCAAATAAACCATCCAGCTCAGAGAAGACAACTACATTAAAATCATCCTCCTGAGCTAAAAAAAATCTCCTCCATTGTATCCTACTTAGAAAATATGACATTTTTCACAGTTTATACAATATAATTTGTAGATACCGTTGTTTCTGTATTCCTTCGGTGTTTGATATTTTTGTCATAAAAACCACATACCCTCAAAGTTGTCACGTTGCTCCGGAATAACTTTGAACAATAGACTGTTGTTATTTTTCTGAAAAGTTATTCATTGAACAGCAACATTCTTTCATTATTTTTGATACCAGAAAACGCCTTGACATCTATCTGTCTGTCTGCCTTTAAACGATGAATTTTAGATCCATCTATGTGATATGTAACTTATTAGTTTAGATGAATTAGTGCATGCCTTCTAAATCCCACTGTTAGTTTCTATCAAGCAAATGATCCCATGATCCTTGCAAAATTGCTGATAGTGATATAGAAATCAAGTCTGAAGTTAAGTATCTTTGATTAATTCTTTCTTCTGACCTATCCTGTTCTTCCCATGTCTTAGAGATTTCTAAAAGAATATTTCATCTGACTTTTTACATAAAGAAGTTAAGGCACTGGGGTATAACTCAACCCCTCCTCTTAAAGTTTGTCAACTCATGTATCCTACCTATTCTCCGTTATCTTTCACCCTTAATCCTTCATGGGTTGCTTTAAAAAGACCATGTCATACTTCGTAGAACTCTGAAAACTGTCAGTAGGGCAAGTGGTGGCATCCCATTGGGCCATATCGTTGACATTGTCACTGATAGGCACTTGATGTCATGCGACAAATTTGATGAAGGAATTTTGTCATACTGTGAGCACTCACTCTACCCGCAGCTCCAACCTTGTGTCTCCTCAGGTAAAACAAGAACTCTTTTCAGAAGAATTTATGCACATACGTCTAAGCATAAAAATTCCACTATGCAATATTTAGCACTTACTTTATGTGGTGAAAATAGTGTCAGGCATGAACTAACTAACTAACCTTCTTTGCACTACTAAATAAACCATTTCCTCCACACTTACAACATCAAACTTTATTGTTATTGTATTTCCTATATTCATAATCCTCTCAATTTTTTTGTTTTTATTTATTTATTTTTCATAAGTGTGAATATAATTTAAGCCGTGTTACAACTGTTAATTTTGTATTTCTCCTCACTATACTATATCAACAGAGCATTAGATCCAATAATCTATAACATGCTAAAGTTTCCAAACTGAATTGACGATACTGTCTGAAACAAACTCACTGTTATTATTATTATTATTATTGTATTTAATGATCTCAATTCGTGCTTCGAATATTTTTGACTTTATATCGTAAACATGGACGATTTACTCTGGTTACTTTTGTTTTGATTTTTGACTTTATTTATATTTTAAGTAAATCAGATGCAATATTGTGACAAATGCTGAGAATTCCATTCTGTATTATAAGTACTGTTTTGGAATGAAGTAGATTATTATTATTATTATTATTATTATGATATCAGAATGGAAAAAGGGTATTATCAAGACTTCAGTTTGTGGAGTTCATATGCAAACAGAGATCGAATTTTTCAGTCTAATAAAATAATTAAAAAAATGTTAGAAAATAAAAATATAAACGGACAACTTACCATAAAATTACATTTTATAACAGTATCGAAATCTTCACGGAAGAGTTAATCTGTAAGGATTTGACTTATTTCTATTTTGACCATGGATTTATATCGGTTAAAGAACTATTAAAAACCGGTAGGGAGTACTGAACAGCCGTTTCGTCCTACTTTGGGACTCTTCGGCTGTGACTGGAAGGCCATTGGTTCTAACCTTAATGGGTGCGTACTACCGACGACTCCCAAACTAGGCTGACGAGGCAGCTCTCTCAAATACTATCTGCTTTCCAATGGTTTTCTTACTCATATCAATCCGTGATCAAACTTGGTACAAATCAAATGCCTGCAAACTAACTCATGAAAATTAATCTGACACTCGCTAGTCACTGACTACACGACCACGTTTCCTGGAGTTCCACTGAGAAGTTGTGATCATTGGGGTCCACCAGGTTGGAAGTGATGACAAACATTTGCCGATGATACTGCCTGCTGATTGCGCTAAAATCACAAACTGGCAGAAGTTAGAATTTATGGGTCACTAAGGTGGGTCCTAGTAGCTGAATGGTCTACGAGCTTGCTTTGTAACCAGAAGATCTTGGGTTCAAACCCCAGTGGGCGGGTACTACCGATGAGTCCTAAACTAGAGGAAGAAGCGGGTGTCCAGTACTCCCTACTTGTTTTCAATGGTCCTCTAAAACTAGTATCAATTGTTTGCAATCCTTTATGTCCCAAGTGGGAGGTAAATCTTCAACCCTAAGCCCTTGAAGTTTCAGTAGCTATGGTATTTCCCCAGCTTACTACCGGTTTAGTGAAGTTTAAGCGTAAATTAGTCGAGAATCGAGTTCGAACCATGTACACATTTGGCTAGCATCCTACCAATTAAACAATAACACACTATTTTCGCCATTATTGTAATTAACTTTACGCCAATTTTAGTTCTCCTACTTTATTCAACAGTATTTTGAGCATAATATGTTTCGCATTTCACAAATATGATTATTATTATTATTATTATTAATATTCGAATGTTTACTTTATATTTTTTGTTGTTGTTTGTTTTGTTCTGTTGTTGTTTAGGATTTCCACAAGTTCATGGGTCATCTAAGCTATCACCGCATCATGTTTAAATCAGTCAATAAAAGCCTAATGGTTATTAGATAGTTTAATATATGTATGTCAAAATAGCAGTTGGATAAACTTACCTAATTACTCGCCTTCCTACCTACCTACCTACCTATCTATCTATCTATCTATCTATCTACACACAGGCCTGGATAATATACCAAAACACTATTGCACTACCCACTGACTATGTAATAAATAACATGCATGATAATATAAACATTAAGTATTAAAATTCAATTATTTGCCTTTTTTTATTCTCGTCATCAATTTGTATGATTGTTTGTTAACAGTAGTGTGTAAAAATAAACAATTGATTTGTTTTTAATTATCAAAATCTACCTTTTAAACAAAATACTGTTAATTTGATTTTATTCTGTTTTTTTATACAAGCTCGAAACTAATTAAATTTACGCCAAAACTAACCCTTGAAAATTAATCTAATGTACACTAGTAAACTGAAGTTTTGTAATGAGAACTTGTAGTCAGTAGGATCCATCAGTTTGGATGTGATGACACCGACTGTCGGTGATGCTGTGAATCACGAATGAACAGAAGTTGTAGTTAGAAGTTAATTAGTGGATGGATGATAACTAGCAGTGGAATCCAGGATAAATACCCACTTCGTCCTCTTTGGGACTCCTCAACCAACTGGATATACTTGCATTCCCCAGTGAGTCAGTGATGATGTTCCCACCGAGGCTTGAACCCAGTGTTCATAATTTCAAAAGCCAAGGCGTTATCCTCTTGGGCCACCACGGCCACCTCTTGTGCAACGAGTTATATTAATTTAATTCAGTTTTAGATTTTCCCGTTGATTGATTGGACCGAAGTGCTCGGTGTCAGGTTGACATGTCGGCTTCTTGTGCAGATGCTCCGACGATGTCTGGGCACTTAATTAAAAGTTAACTGGTGGATGGTGGCCAGCGAGTTCAGGGCGCACATTTCGTTCTATTTGGGACTTGCCATCTGGATGTATTTGCATTCCTCAGGTACTGGAGGAATTGTCAATAAGCTCGTGTCGCAACCTGAAAGTTCTGGGTTCGATCTTTGGTGAGGGTAACAGGTGCGCACTGCTGAAGAATCCTTGGTCTTCAGTGGTATCAATCCGTGGTTTAATGCCTTTGAAGCTGTTATTAATTTTAATTTTATTTATGGATTTCAAATAAGTCATTACGTAATCCAGTGAGACTTGATCACTGGAAAATGATTCAGAGCAAATGACTGCTATTGATCTGTTCGACCTAATACATATTTTGAATGAGTTATACTAGCAGTTCGGAGGTTGCTTGTTCGAATCCTTTAGTGGCCTAAATTTTCACCTCCAGTAATCGTCAACTAGGTGAATATCTCAGATAGTCTCGTCATCGATTACCAGTCTGCTTTAGTCTTTCTAAGTCAGTACGAGAGAAGACTTGACTGAATAGGTGGTGTAATTAATTGGTTCACAGGACAGCTGGACTATACTTTTTTGGTGAATGGATGACCTGATCAGCAGTTGAATTCGACAGCTCAACTAGTATAGCGCCAAATTCGTAAACTGAAGGCGTCATATTCAAATCCTATGGCAGGCTAGTTTTTCATCTCTCCTATAGTCAACACTCATCACGCTAACATTATTATTCACAAAGCATCTAAGGAGTTATGATTTAATTTTAATTTTCCCCGAGTTAATTTGTAGGGATTCGATTAGCTTTAAGTTTGGCATGTTGGGTTCGAGCCTTGGTGGGAACATCATCACTCACTGCAGAATGCAGGTACATCCAGATGACGAGTCCCAAATAGGACGAAATGGGCATTGTCCTGGATTCCACTGCTAGTCACCATCCACAAATTAAAGGTTTTATTTTCGTTTGATAACTGGCAGCGAATTACTGAAGACTAATAAACACTGAACGGCTGTTTTGGTTCTTTTACTCTTAGGGTTCTTCATCAGTTTGAATGTTAGAATACTTCCTTCAGAGATTAGGATCAGATTCATAAGGTTACAGGACGTGTTTTCACTGGTTGGTTAACCATTCTATTCTAGTAGTTAGAGCAGTTACTCACTGTTGGCATTCAATATTGGTGGCAGTGTACTGCGACTTCAAAATGGAGCTAAATTGCCGTAAGCTAAGATGCATTAGTCATTCAATATTGTTTTATCATCACTGGCTTCTCAAACTGATGTGAATAAATAATGGATTCTGTGTTCGAATCTCAGTGAGAACACCTCTATCCAACAGGAACGTAGGTACATTCAACTAACAAGTCCCAAATAAGACGAAATGTAAGTCTTAGGTCCCGATGCTAACCTTCACTAAGCAAGGGATGAGTGATGTTGTTCAACTGAAGGTCAAAAAAGATTCTTTATAACCCATATTTTGTTCACCAGTAGAAATCTAAGTTCCGCCGCACACATGATGCAACCGTTACTAGGTGTAATTTCAAATAAAATCTATTCAGCCTTTAATATTGATTTTGCATTCCAGTTAAAAATAATTTAGAAGGTATCGATTAGACTGAGAATATATAGATGGTATCGTTTCATTTACCACCCTATAAAAAAACTATCACTATTTTCATCAACCATGGCTTCATCAAGCATGCATATACGTAGATGTATTTTCACCTTTGTTTTGACTTTATTCAATGTTGAATATTTTTAGTATCCCTTTGTTTTAATACGTTTATTGATTGTTGTTTTTTTTCAAATGGATTCACCGTCGAGTGTGCAATTGAAATTTAACCACTTAATTGCTTCTCTTAATTAGAAATTTAAGAATAAGTATGGATATAAGATTACCTGCTCAACAAGTGAAACGCGTTTTTAACAATTCACTGATGATAATCAACATTTTGAAAGTCTGTAAAGCTGTTTTATGCATCGATCACAATGGGATTTTCATAGTTCCTTCTATCTTTCATCTGTTTGTTTTTGTTGAAGGCATTCGTCATAGTTGTCTTTAATTTTCTGAATATATGTTACGTCATTTGTAACAGGATCTAGTAATTTGGTGTTGATCTTTCTTATCTGAAGAATGGGGAGGAGATTTATTTGTATTCAAAGGCTGAGATTGATCTTCTTATGCTCTTTGACCTCAGTAGTTTATTCAGAAAGTATTCAATGTCTTCCTGCATAACATCTTTAGTGCTAGTTTCAAGAAAAATTATTTTCCGAAAAGGTAATACCTTTGATAACTAATTGAATGTTTCATGGACCAAAACTACTTCTGAGGTTTCAACAGAAATATAAAAGCTGTAGTCAGTATTCCAAGAAGTCTACAAAGAAACCCACCCCTAGAGTTCCAGTAACCGTTTCACTGACAAAGTGCACTCATTCACATTCAGTCAATTATAGTCATTACGCTTGACATGATAACAAAATCCACTGAACAGCAGAATTCAGAGTTGTTTCCATGACAACTAATATGACGACAGCTGAATTCCTTAAACAGTCAATGTAATTTCACCTACACCATTGATTTCACTACTAACGACAATTCCTATACGAAAAACATAATCAACATCCTGTAGTCCACATTCTCCAAATGAAAGAAAACTTAAGAACATATTACAGCGTGCACGCGGAAACACAAGAAAGCCATAGTTTCAATCCCTTCACAGGTCATAGATGCGTAATGCTGACGATCCCTAAACCAGGATGGAACAACTGTCCAGTAATTCTTGGTTTTCAGTCATTCTCTGAAAAGTGATGTTGACTCACGACGAAATCCAACTTGAAATTAATGGTCACTCTACAGACTTGAGAATCGACCCATTGTTCATCGATAACTGACCACAGGATAGACCTCCTTGATTTTTGTTGAGAGGTTGCATTCCGTGGAGTCCACCAAGTTGACAGTGAAGACATAAACTGACAGATGACATTAGCTGACAGTGGAGATATTTGTCGCGAATCAGTTGAAGCGAGAATTCACGAACAAATGGTTTCCATCCTAGTGACTGAACAGTAGCGTGTTCACCTCCCCATGTTCCGAGATTCAGTCTCTGAAGAAACAAATAAATCACTAAGTAATGTTGACACAAAAAAGTAACAAACAACTACTGAGTTACAAGTGTTGACTTAGTTACATTATTTTAAACCTCAATCTAAACTACAAAGTCTGATTTCAGTCAACAAATGGAACATTGTTGAATTACTTTTGTCACTTAATATTGTGCATAAATATATACATGCAGAGTGTAGAGAATAAATAAATGCGTTGATGTTGAATTTGTGTCACATAATAAGGACAAATTCATGTTAATTTTTTTGTATTTAATCTAACAATGTCAATTAGCATGTGGTTGAAACAATACACTGGCCCAGATTTTAGTCTATATGAGCTGAGATAATGTTACTCAGTTGGTAAAAAATTAAACACGTTAGGCAGAACAAGATTCGATGCTAAGACTTACTGACATAAAGAAAAGTATATGTGTACAGAGCTCCAGTTCCAATTATGAACTAATCGTTTAAAGTAGAGGTAATATTCACCAGACAATAATTATCTTAGTTCTTAAAAAGTCATACGGTATTGGCTTCTTTGAGACTTATATTATTTATATGATTACTAAAATTAATACCATTATGTATGACAACTATTCAGATATATTTAGTTATGTTAGAAAAATCAACAGAACTTGAAAAAGGCAAACAGGTTGTCATCTCAATAGAAGAAAAGTATGAAAGAGTCTGTGGTAATACAGTCCGCTGAAACCGCATATCCGAAAATCTAATCATAAAGACAATTTCTATTTCTCCATAAAAGCCTAGATCTCCAAAAGTTAGATTTTACCAGAAATCAATACATCCGTTTAGAAAACCAAGGGATATTGAATATCTGTTTCATCCTAGTTTGAAACTCTTCAGTAGTGCACTTCAACCAACCCATCAGAGATTGAATCTTGGACCCTAAAGTAGTGAATGAACACGCTGTTGTTCAGTCACTAGGATAGAAACCACTAGTTCGTGAATTCTCACTTCAACTGATTCGCGACAAATATCTCCACTGCCAGCTAA